ACACCAATGATGGGGCACTACTTCCTCCCACTGACACCAATGATGGGGCACTACTCCTCCCACTGACACCAATGATGGGGCACTACTCCCCTGACACCAGTGATGGGGACTATTCCTCCCACTGACACCAATGATGGGGCACTACTCCCCCCACTGACACCAATGATGGGGCACTACTCCCCCACTGACACCAATGATGGGGCACTACTCCCCCCACTGACACCAATGATGGGGCACTATTCCTCCCACTGACACCAATGATGGGGCACTATTCCTCCCACTGACACCAACGATGGGGCACTATTCCCCCACTGACACCAACGATGGGGCACTATTCCTCCCACTGATACCAACGATGGGGCACTATTCCTCCCACTGATACCAACGATGGGGCACTATTCCTCCCACTGACACCAACGATGGGGCACTATTCCTCCCACTGACACCAACGATGGGGCACTATTCCTCCCACTGACACCAACGATGGGGCACTATTCCTCCCACTGACACCAACGATGGGGCACTATTCCTCCCACTGACACCAACGATGGGGCACTATTCCTCCCACTGACACCAACGATGGGGCACTATTCCTCCCACTGACACCAACGATGGGGCACTATTCCTCCCACTGACACCAACGATGGGGCACTATTCCTCCCACTGACACCAGTGATGGGGCACTATTCCTCCCACTGACACCAGTGATGGGGCACTATTCCTCCCACTGACACCAGTGATGGGGCACTATTCCTCCCACTGACACCAGTGATGGGGCACTATTCCTCCCACTGACATCAGTGATGGGGCACTATTCCTCCCACTGATACCAACGATGGGGCACTATTCATCCCACTGACATCAGTGATGGGGCACTATTCCTCCCACTGACACCAGTGATGGGGCACTATTCATCCCACTGACACCAACGATGGGGCACTATTCCTCCCACTGATACCAACAATGGGGCACTATTCATCCCACTGACATCAGTGATGGGGTACTACTCCTTCCACTGACACCAATGACATGGCACTATTCCTCCCACTGCAAAATTGCAGTTATGAAGTAGCAATGAAAATAATTTTATGGTTGGGGGTCACCACAACATGAGGAACTGTATTAAGGGGTCGCGGCATTAGAAAGGTTGAGAACCACTGATCTATTATCTATCTATCTATCTATCTATCTATCTATCTATCTATCTATCTATCTATCTATCATCTATCTATCTATTATCTATCTATCTATCATCTATCTATCTATTATCTATCTATTTATTATCTATCTATCTATCTATCTATTATCTATCTATCTATTATCTATCTATCTATCTATCTATCTATCTATCTATCTATCTATCTATCTATTATCTATCTATCTATCTATCTATCTATCTATCTATTATCTATCTATCTATCTATCTATCTATCTATCTATCTATCTATCTATCTATCTATCTATCTATCTATATATATATATATCTATCCATCTATCCATCTATCCATCCATCTCTCTATCTATCTATCCATCCATCCATCTATCCATCCATCCATCTCTCTATCTATCTCTGTCTTTTTGTCTATCTACTACCACTACCGTGACCACTTGGAACCTTCTTCCACCATCGCTTTCCACTTGGTCTTGTTTTTTGCTGGTTAATAATCTGCTTTATGTCACAGCTGCTCGTCATTTCCTGGATGTCTTCCATCCATATTGTTCTTCTTCCCGCTTTCACCTTCTTTACCTTGTCCTCTCTTCCACAATCTTGTATACAGTGAAGGAAATGTGTATTTGCTCCCCGGCTGATTTTGAATGTTTGCCCACTCACAAAGAAATGATCGGTCTAAAAATTGAATGTTCGGTGTATTGTAACACTGAGAGACAGAATAGCAACAAAAAATTCAAAAGAAATGCATGTCTAACAAATGATGATTGATCTGCATGTTCATGAGGAAAATAAGTATTTGATCCCCTCCACAAAACATGACTTAGTACTTGGTGGCAAATCCCTTGTTGGCAATCACAGAGGTCAGACGTTTCCTGTAGTTGGCCACCAGGTTTGCACATATCTCAGGAGGGATTTTGGCCCACTCCTCTTGGCAGATCCTCTCCAAGTCATTAAGGTTTGGTGGCTTATGTTTGGCAACTCAAACTTTCAGCTCCCTCCACAGATTTTCAATTGGATTAAGGTCTGGAGACCACTCCAGAAATTTATTGTGCTTCTTCTTGAGCCTCCTTTGTTGCCTTGGCCATGTATTTTGGGTCATTGTCATGCTGGAACACCCATCCACGACCCATTTTCAATGCCCTGGCTGAGAGAAGAAGGTTCTCACCCAAGATTTGATGGTACATTGCCCCTTCCATCGTCCCTTTGATGCGGTGCAGTTGCCCTGTCCCCTTAGCAGAAAAACACCCCCAAAGCAGAATGTTTCCACCACCATGTTTCACAGTTGGTATGGTGTTCTTGGGGTCATAGGCAGCATTTCTCCTCCTCTAAACACGGCGAGTTGAGTTGATGCCAAAGAGCTCGATTTTGGTCTCATCTGACCACAACACTTTCAACCAGTCCACCTCTGCATCATTCAGATGTTCAGTGGCAAACTTCAGACGGGCCTGGACATGTGCTTTCTTGAGCAGAGGGACCTTGCGGGCACTGCAGGATTTCAGTCCTTGTCAGCGTAGTGTGTTACCAATTGTTTTCTTGGTGACTGTGGTCCCAGCCGACTGGAGATCATTGACAAGATCCTCACGTGTAGTTCTGGGATGATTCCTCACTGTTCTCATGATCATTGACACTCCACGAGGTGAGATCTTGCATGGAGCACCAAACTTAGGGAGACTGGCACTTGTTTTTTGTTTCTTCCATTTGTGAATGATTGCACCAACTGTTGTCACCTTCTCACCAAGCTGCTTGGCCATAGTTTGCTAGCCCAGTCCAGCCTTGTGTAGGTCTACAATCTTGTCCCTGACATCCTTGGACAGCTCTTTGATCTTTGCCATGGTGGGAAGAAGGTTCTCACCCAAGATACACCTTCCATTCGATTTTTAGACTGATCATTTCTTTATGATTGGGCAAACATTCAAAATCAGCAGGTGATCAAATACTTATTTCCTTCACTGTAGCTCCTCTCCATTCACGTTTCTTGGGATATGGAGGAAAAAAATTGGCATTTTTTCTTCAACATTCCTGTCTATATACACAATATTGCTTCACTGAAGCTTTTTAAATGTAATTTTGTATTCTTTTTTCAAATAAACAGTACAAAGCATAGCCCTGGAGGTCACCAATGAACGTAGAACATACTATGCACCACTACAGGGTGGATACAGTATCTGTGTGATTGATTACAGTCATGGGAATAAAGGTTAAGCAGGATCAAATTACGTCTCATTACCCATAAACTATGGTGGCCTTGACTAAAAACGCAAGCAACCAATGAAGATCACGGATGAGAGACCCTCTCACCTAGACAGTCAAGCACCACTGAGGAAAACATTATACATATTATCTAGATAACAACAATAGAAAGTGTTATTCCTCCGTGGAAGAACCTGGAAAACATGTGAGCTTAGCATTGACTCTTTATAGCACCTCTTCATTCATGATCATGTCCATCCAGCTGATTATCAAGATCCTTCCATAGCAACACAATTCAAAACTTGGGATCTCTTTTTATAAAGAGAGAAAATGTTTTTCTGCCATACCTGAGAATAGACCAGATTTACGTTTGTAGCAATATTTCGTTGTGTTTACAAGGAAATTGTTCCTCCCACCTCAGCTCTTTGTGCCTCCAGACGTTTGGTTTGGCCTTGGTGATTCCAACTCTTTTGTCAAAAAGCTTTCTTCAGGTTTTTAGTGATCCGTATCTGAAGGTAATTATTTTCTCTATTCTTTCATTTTGAAGCATTAGTTTACCTTTTCTGTGTCTTTGGTGGTTGCAACCTTTTTTTATGTTGCTTGAGTGTTTGTTTTGGATGTCTCTTGTGCTATGTCATTAATTAAGTGGTTGAGGTCTTCCTGAAATTCTTCAACGAACATCGTATTGTCTGCCTAGCTTATGTTCCTTGTGATCTTGGATTCATATGCTCGAATTTCAACACATTCACACATACCTTGAGAAGCTCTGAATAGGTTCTGAACAATTGCGGAGACACATCCTCAGCACATGCCTCTTTCTACTGTTGAATGTTTGCATTTGGTATCCATTTTCATAAACCCTTGGGTATTTGTGATAGATATTGGCTTGGAGATTGACATCTTTTTTCACATACTCCTTTTTTCAAGAGTGTTTCCATGAGGATGTCATGCTTGACAACATCCAATGCTTTGGTAAAGTCAATGAAGCATAGATAGGTTCCTGTTGCTTGCTGATCCGATTTCCTTGGAGGACTTTCAATGTGATGATGCTCTCAATGGTGCCGACTTTTGGCCGAAAGCCATATTAGACAGGTTCCATTTTGCTTAGGAGCTTTGAATTTATGTGGTTGTAGGTGAGATATGTACAGTAGATGAAGGTTTGATAAAATCTTTTATTGAATGTGGTATCAGGACTACCAATGTCCAATGCTCATAACATTTTGTGGTTTTAATTTTCTTCAGGATTGTTCCAAAAATAATAGCCTTTAGTCATTGTTTCAGAATTTTCTCACCTTGGTAAACGCCACTTATGAATGAAGAAAACTAATCCTTTAATTTGATTTGGGCTCTTTAAACATTTACATTTGGTGTTTCATCATAACCGTTGACCTCTCTACAGCCTCAGGTTGTGGGACATCCTTCCTGGGTTTTCCACTTCCATGTAGTTTTTCTTCTATAGTTCTTCTATAGTGTCCCCCTACAATAGTAGTCAATGTTGAAGTGACCCCTTACATTGGTGGTTAGTGAAATTGGGGGATCAGTTCAGCATTGCTCACTGCTCAAGAAATGCCTAGAGACCTTAGGAGGAATGCTAGGTGTCCATAGAATGCTAGCTGGGAAAGGCTGAGCTCTATCTATCTATCTTACACCCCTTTTTAACCAATGACTCCACCAAGCTACTAATTAATTCCCTGGTTATCTCTCACCTCGACTATTTCAACTGCCTCCTTGTTGGCCTACTTCTACACAGACTACATCCTTCAGTCAATTACGAATGAAGCTACCAGATGCATCCATCTTACCAACCGTTCATTGTCCCCCTCCCATCTTTGCCAATCCCTCCACTGGCCTCCACTCAGTGTCCTCCACCCCTCTCTGCCAATCCCTTCACTGGCCTCCACTCAGTGCCCTCCACCCCTCTCTGCCAATCCCTCCACTGGCCTCCACTCAGTGTCCTCCACCCCTCTCTGCCAATCCCTCCACTGGCTTCCACTCATTGTCCTCCACCCCTCTCTGCCAATCCCTCCACTGGTTGGCGATTGCGCAATGAATTGAATTCAAAATACCGACAACTTACAAAGCCATCCAAGCTACATCACCAACCTTATCCTAAAATATCACCAATTCACTCCACTCTTCCCAAGACTCTCCAGCTCCCCTGTCGCCTCCTTTCATGCTGATCCCCAGGACTCCTTCAGAGCTTCTCCCATCCTCAAGAACAGTGATCTCCAAATTGTGGTCTGGGGGCCAGTTGCAGCCTTTTGCTTGCTTTTATCCAACCCTTGGGGCAAAATTTCATCCATTGATGCCAACAATGGGGCATAATTCTCCCCACTGACACCAATGAAGGAGCACAGTTTCTCCCAATGACACCAATGATGGGACACAATTCCTCCCAATGACACCAATGATGGAGCACAGTTTCTCCCAATGACACCAATGATGGGACACAATTCCTCCCAATGACACCAATGATGGGACACAATTCCTCCCAATGACACCAATGATGGAGCACAGTTTCTCCCAATGACACCAATGATGGGACACAATTCCTCCCAATGACACCAATGATGGAGCACAGTTTCTCCCAATGACACAAAGAATGTGCCCCTATGACACCAATAATGGGGCACAATTCCTGACACTGACATCAACCATAGGGTACAATTCCTCCCACTGGCACCAATAATGGGGCACAATTCCTCCCACTGACACCAAAGATAGGGCACTATTCTTCCCAATGACACCAACCATGTGGCATATTTCCACCCAATGACACCAACTGCGGGGTACAATTCCTCCCACTGAAATCAACGATGGGGTATTGTTTTTTCCTACTGACTTTGGGACCTTCTCAACTCCTAGTGGCCACAGTCCGGCACCCCTAAAGTCTGAAGGACATTAAACTGGTCCTTTGTTTAGAAAGTTTGGAGACCCAACGGTGCAATCTGGACACCTAGGCACTTGTTATGCTTTATCCTTTTTCTTTGAAAACTTTTGCAGTGTCAGAATGCCTGCCGCAGTCCCGCTATAAGTCGCTGATCGCCACCATTACTAGAATTTACAAAAAACCCAAGTATATATACCGCCATTTGGCCAATCAGTGATCATATGAAGAGTAGTAAGCAAGATGTCACTTCTGACATCATTGCTTGTAACCAGGGGCGGACTGACCATTTGGAAACTCGGGTACTGCCCGAGGGCCCGGGGTCAGTAGGGGGCCCCATGAGACGCCCCTGGTACCTTTTTCATAGCCTTTTTTGAGTTTTGGCAAGGACACAGGGGCCCTATGATCCCCTATTGCCCGGGGGCCCCATGAGTTGTAAGTCCACCCCTGCTTACTACGTGTGAAATCTGTGAATGATCACAGAGGTCACATGGTAGAGGGCTATTCACAACAGCCTTCTACCATGTGACAAACTGTGACCAATCACAGCTCACTCAGTAGTTCTCAATGGCTGCAAGAATGCAGCCAGAGAGAAGGAGAAATGATTGATTTTACAGCCTTTATGGGTGTAAAAGCAATCAGTGTAAAAAAAAAAACCAAAATCTTCATCACCCCCCACAAGTAGTACAGTGTCACTATGGTGACACTGTACTGCTAGGGTGACAGTATGTAAACAAAAAAAACATAAAATAATAATATAAAAAAATAAACTAAAAATGTAAAAAAAAAATTAGAAAATTTTATATTTTTTGGTTATAAACTAATTTAGGTTATTTTTTTTTTACTTAAAAGATAACTGAATAAATTTTGCCCAAGATTTATGGAGAACAATTATTTATTTGCAAACTTTTATAAGAAAAAACACTTTTTTTTTCCAAATTTTGGGAATTTTTCATTTATATGGCAAAAAAAAAAAAAAAAAAATCCCAGCGGTGAATAAATACCACCAAAATAAAGTTTTATCTGTATGAAAAAAATGCTAAAAAATTCAAGGGAACAGTGTTGCATGACCGCGCAATTGTCATTCAAAGTGTGATAGCGCTGAAAGCTGAAAATTGGCCTGGGCAGGAAGGGGATAAAATAGCGCAGCGCCGTATTGCAAAAAATGGTCCGGTCGGGAAGGGGTGGCGATGGGGGGTGGTAAATCCTGTGGAGGGTGAGCGGTTAATAGCTCCTTCCTCAGCCCCCATGCGGCATTACTTGGCGCAAATCATCAGACGTTTCATTTTTTTTAAAAGCGGACACGCCGATGAACTTTAGGTAACAGCGAGCATATAATTGACATTATAAATGTTACTTATCGCCAGTTAATGAATCTCTTGTGCGCGGCGTGCGTGGCCCGACATCAAATGCTGACGGATAATTAATTGCTATCACCGGTTTGTTTGACGTCGTTTAAAAAGCTTTTTAATAACGATAAAAAATGCGATGATTGCTCGCCAGCCTCCGTAAAATGCGGCACCTGTTTTGGCAGATGGGCAGTTCTGTTGCCGTGTTTTTGTGCATTTCGTTTGATCAAATCTTTTTATGCCGGAGCGCGGGAGGGGAGTGCGACCGCAGCACCAGAAACCAACTTAGGCCCGGGTTATCCCACGCTGATATTTTAATTCCTTTAAAGCTGAACTCTGGGCAACTATTAAAGACAACATTAATGCATTTATTTGATAAATATTTAATAAATATATTTATTTATATATAATATTTAATAAATAAATAATAAAATAAATAATATTTACTTATGACATAAAAATAACACATCGTATATTATAAAAATAAAAAACAAAAATATTAAAGTAAAAAATGAAAAAAAAAAAAACCATCATAAATAATACATCGAGAATAAATTCATTAAAGAGGATGTAAAAATAAAAAAAACAACATAAATAATACATAAATAATAAATTCATTAAAGTGGATGTAAAAATAAAAAAAAATATATAAATAATACATAAACAATAAATTCATTAAAGTGGATGTAAATATATATAAACAACATAAACAATAAATTAATTAAAGTGGATGTAAAAATAAAAAAATATATAAATAATACATAAACAATAAATTCATTAAAGTGGATGTAAAAATAAAAAAACAACATAAATAACACTTAAATAATAAATTCATTAAAGTGGATGTAAATATATATAAACAACATAAACAATAAATTCATTAAAGTGGATGTAAAAATAAAAAAAACAACATAAATAACACTTAAATAATAAATTCATTAAAGTGGATGTAAATATATATAAACAACATAAACAATAAATTAATTAAAGTGGATGTAAAAATAAAAAAAAATATATAAATAATACATAAACAATAAATTAATTAAAGTGGATGTAAAAATAAAAAAACAACATAAATAACACTTAAATAATAAATTCATTAAAGTGGATGTAAATATATATAAACAACATAAACAATAAATTCATTAAAGTGGATGTAAAAATAAAAAAACAATATAAATAATACATAAACAATAAATTAATTAAAGTGGATGTAAAAATAAAAAAACAACATAAATAACACTTAAATAATAAATTAATTAAAGTGGATGTAAATATATATAAACAACATAAACAATAAATTCATTAAAGTGGATGTAAAAATAAAAAAACAACATAAATAATACATAAACAATAAATTCATTAAAGTGGATGTAAAAATAAAAAAACAACAGAGATGTCATCACTGGGTCTCTGCGCTTCTCTATGCAATGCAGGCAGGTCATAGTTGGTAGTTTTAGACTCAGTGATGTCATCACTGGGCCTCTGCGCTTCTCTATGCAATGCAGGCAGATCGTGGCTGATGGGAGGGGCTAATAGGGTACTGCACATAGCTTCCAGGAAACATCACAGCACCTTGCCTCAGTACTCCTCCCAAGAGCTCCCAATGCAAGCAGTGCGCGGAGTTCTGGAAATATCAAAATGCCATGGAGAGGAGCCGGTATGACTGTGAGAGACCGAAGGGAAAGCTGGAGGTCAGATTTAAACATTTATTTTTTTAGCTCTTTTTAAGCCGCGTCCAAAATAAAAAGACGTTTTTATCTTCATCGCAATAAAGGGGGGAGGGATTCCTGTACCGGGGGGGGCCCTTCATAGTGATCAGAGACAGAACTCTCATAGACAACCGCCAACGTCTGCGCCCCGAAGAGGCCCTTCAGATATCTGGCAGAGGACGGTGGCAGCTCCATGTCACAGAATGTCATTACGTCTCCGATTTGGTTTGGCAGGACCCCCTCTCCCCCCCCCCCCCTTCCTCCCCCCTCCATCTTTCTATACAACAGCTGAGCGCCGAAAGGGAATGGAGAGTTTTTCAAGGTCGGGAAGGAGATTCGTTGCTCGAGTTTTCCAAACCAGAAGCTGCACATGTGACCCGGATTCCGCTGTGTTACCGGTGGAGTTGCCGGATAAATCCTGCCAAGTGGCCCAATGCCGGTCCCAGAAATATTTCATTGCAATTAAAATCTTTTTTTTTTTTTTTAAATCAGTAGAAAGAACATTTTTTTTAATATAGTTAAACAATAATAATAATAATAATAATAATAATAATAATAACTTCTCATATGTCTGGGACAACAACAACTGAAATCCCGACTGAGCCTTCGGTTTAAATCCTCCTAATACATTCCAGGTGTGTCAGAACAAAGGACAGGCAAAGTCTTGAAGTTCCATTTCTTTGGAAAGCAGCCTTATGCCGGCCATAGACGGGCCGAAAATCGTCCGAAAAAAATCGGCCAATTTTCACACCGTTAGTGGGTTAATTGGTCGGCTGTTTTTTGGGCTTTTTGCACTTTTTTTTTTATCGTGCATGTTGGAAAATTTGCAGCCGATTTTGACAATCGGACGATTTTCCCGGCAATGATGGGCAAATCGGGCTGATCGTTTTAGCGATAAAAAATCTGCGCATGAGCCGTGACCTGCAAGAAGAAGAAAAGAATAATAAGAAGAAGAAGAAGAAAAAGAAGAAGAAAAAGAATAATAATAATAAGAAGAAGAAGCAGAGGAAGAAGAAGGAGAAGAATAATTCCAGTCCGCTATTATATTTTATATGAAAAGTCTTGCGGTTGCAACAATGTATCCATTTGTATCCAAATAAAAACATCTGTATCCGAAATGGATACAAATGGATACAAATAGATACATTGTTGCAACCGCAAGACTTTTCATATAAAATATAATAGCGGACTGGAATTCTTCTTCTTCTTTTCTTCTTTTTATTATTGTTATGTATTGCTCCCCTGTGTGCTCCCGTCTCTGCAAGG